GTGGAGAAAGTCTGTGAGTACTTCGGGCTTTGGACCTGTTCAACATCTTTTCGATGTTCTTCTGCTTCCCTTTGTTCAGGAAGTCCTTTACGGACTACTTTTAAACAATTATATCGCTGGGTAATTTGACCCTGCAGATCATTTCTTGCTGATACCGATGAGAAGCACATAGGCAGAACAGGCTGGTAGTTGTTAATTGTCCCCGTGGATACTTGGTGGATTTTGTGGAAAAAGCGCCAAGTTAGCTGCGAATGCAATACTTACCTGGTAAAACCAAACCTCCAACGACTGCTATCAAGACCATGAATCTGATTCTGTTGAAGACATGGCACTCACATGGCTAGTCTAGGGACAACTATAAACGGAGATCCAGGGGAATAGGGGGTAGGCAATTTGAGTGTGTGTGCCATTGTGCTAGACCAGCTGGATGACAGTTCATCCTGCAGCTTTTGATCCCCACTTCAATATGTAGTAGGACAAAAGTAGAAGCTGGCATAATCAAAAGGTTAAAAATCGTTCGTCGGTCGATTTGAGTCCAGAGTGTGTTTATTTTCTTCTCTGTTCTTTTCTTTTTTTCCCCCCCTTCTTTTCCCGCCGTCTCTTCTCCCCTATTGTCTCAATCTCGACTTGTTCAGAAGTGACAGCGTAGGGAAAAAAGGTCTGAAACTTCGTCCTGTTCTCCTATCCACGGTGCAGATCGCAAAGCCTTGGCCGGAGCTGATTTCCAAAGAAAAAAGGCAGAAAATATTGACATCTCGCGCGCGCCATGGATCAACAACCAACAGTGATGGCTGTGCTCGTATGCAGCATGTTACGCCTCTGCAACGTGGCTCGCGCGGGTACGGTAGGATTTTGACCAACTGCGAACACAACAATAACTGACGTCCAGAAAGTTGTTTCCAGAAATCACTCCACTGCAATATGGATATTGGTCAGTGCTTGATAACCTTGTGTCTTTAACTTAATTATACCGCTGCGTCCCGTCGTCCCGAACCTCGAGGGTCACTGTCACCCGTCATAACTGCCCAGCCCAGAATGTCAGTTGATGGATCATCCGTTCTTCCTGAACTCTCGGTGTATTATTGTCATGATTGCTTTTGTACCATCTCCCGGAATTGAGATCATCGTTCAGCGGCTTGATATTATTGAATATTCAACGCTCCGCCGGATTCTCATTCGTCACGGCGTTTTACATATGCAGGCATTGGCCCATGCCGCCCTTGCGTGTTTGTCGCCAATAGCGACGTCTTCGCTTGCGCTCAGATCTGGACTAATACTGCGATGCCCGCATCGTCACGTCAACGTTGGGTTTCCTGGATTTACACAAAGTGGCACATCGATTCCATCGTCGTCAACCCGCGGCGGGAATTTGCTGCTAATGAAGGCACCAGACTGCCAGCACAGTGAGGCCAAGATTTCGAGAGCAGCTATTGCGGGTTTCCTGATATTCTAAGTACCTTTGCAGGGGTGAGGGCAGCTGAGGGCAGCTGCAGAATCCGTATTTTGTCCGGGACATTGGCACGTCGATTTGTGAGAGGTGAATTCTGAAGGTCCAACGACTAAAGAAAGCCCCGTCCGCTGTATGGCAAAGAGAAAGGTGTAATACTCAGCCGCACTACCAGTATTGCGCAGATGCAGCGTGCATGAAGGACCTGTACCCTTGGGTGGGGGAAGGCCAGCGTAGCTCAGCACTATTTCAGTAAGGTCAGCATCTCGACTGCAAAAAATCTATCTCACACATTAACCACACATACTACTGCACTCGGGTGGTTCGTCGATCAAGAGATCTGTCGTTTTGCATCATATTGACTTTTTAACCCCTTGGCCTCGTCAATTTAGCTGCATGCACTAGGAGGTGAACTATCCTCTCAGCACCGTGATTTGCGTGCAGCCATCGCATCCTGCATGTCAAGAGAAGCCAATGTGATACATCCACCGAGCTAGATCCCTAGGACCCAGGCTAAGATCATGCGAGCTTTGGCCATTTGCGGCCTGACTCTCATTGCACAAACTGCGCGGTGAGAAAAAGGCACCCCGCTCCCATTTTCTACTCCAGATCTCTGGTGAAACTGTTCGTCACTCCCTCTATATGACCAGAAGTCTTGTTGACCGATTTCCGATTTACCCCTTATCCCCCACGCAAGGATTCCCTTGCATGAAGACTGTTTCCCTGACGCAGCCGAACCGGTGTTTTGTCTAGACTAACGGTGATCGAGTCGAGAACAGTGGAGCTCATTAGGGTGAAAGGAAGAAGGCTTGACTTGGTTCAGCCGTACGCGAGGAGAAAAGTGATTCGGCATCTCGTGGCCTGGAGCGCATTTCGAGAGACTGGAGAGAATCCTCCGACAATCACCTGGCGCTGACGGACAAGGGACTCGCGACACAGAAGGATATCTTGATTCTATTGAGCGACCAGGATAAGCAATGCCATTGCTTATCTGTTGATGAACAACCCTCCTAGTATCGGACAGGATTTTCAACGGTCATCGAGTGGGCCTTGGTCCCCTGGGTTTCCCGTTACTGGAAGTGAGCTCCTTCCCTTGGATCCTAGCTCAATTGGAACACGGAACCCATTGGATCGACATCAGGGGAACAAGAGGATTTAAGGTATGTTCTGTTCCCTTGGTTCTTCTCTTATGACATATGAGCGCATTGTTGATTGATTCAGACTTTACGTTGAAGGAAACAACCTGGACGGAGAGCCAGGGGGGATCAAAAGAGGGAAAAGGAGACTAACGGATCTACGAAGACGATTATTCCCCCCAACTGCCAGTCAAGAGTCTAAGAGACGATCAAACTTTAGGGTGGAACGAATAAGCGATGGGAATTGTGCGACCAGACTCAGACTGGAATGCTTAGGCGCGCGCACCAGCCTCCCACGCTCTGCGGCTCTGGCGTCTGCAAGGGAGCCGGGAGACCCTGCGCGGCGTCTAGATAGTGAGGAAAACGGGTCTGATCGCTTGCATAATCGGCTCTATCTCCGCGCGCAAGGCCGAACCGTTGCGCCTGTAGGTTGGGGCTTTGTTCGGGGAAGCGAGTAATGGTTTGCCGCAAACGCGGTGGATTTCATGCTTAGCTCGATCAACTGCCCCAATCGATCCGGCCTAGACGAGGGTAAAGTTTGAGACTTGCGCAGGTGCTCCGAACTGAATCTCAGATCCTGGCTGCACTCCCTCCTCTATTCCTTCGTTTCATTCGAGCATTCAATCCTCCTACCCCTCGAGGCGTGCCAATGTGCGCATCATCTTCAGAGGTTCTACGGTTCCTGTCGGATGATCAAGACTGATACACGCTTAGCCCGTTTTCTCAACCGTGGTCGAGTGTCGACCCGACTGGTAACGATTCTCCCTCAACTTCAAGAACGACTGGACTGCCCGCCGAAAAAGTGACCGGCGTTGGTCTACTGTCCTGGTACTACTCCACCGGAACACATTATCATTATCTGGTTCAGCTGGTTATCTGAAAGCTCAAGTAAAATTTTCCTCTTTTTTTCGCCTTCTTCTCTTGGACTTCTGTGTGTCAAGAGACCCTCAGACCTGTGGGAGGCGACTTTTGACCCATTGTTCAGCTGTGTTCTTTCAACACTGGGCTGAAGCGGTCTTCTGATCCCGCCCGAACCACACCCAATAACCTTCTTGCTTTATCCTTTGACCATCCAAATTTTTTTCACCCTCTATATCGTCATATTATTCAAGCATTTCGACGACCAAAGATAAACAAGAAGAGGGACAGAAAGAGCGTTCGCGCACCCATATCACAAGCATCGAGCATATACGGTCGGCAACGGTTGTCTCGAATCTTCATCTTTTCCCTTCTGACTTCGCTCGTTTTCCATCATCTTTCCTATCCCTGGACATCTACTTGTCGTCTCAAGAGCGAAAACAGACAAGAGAATTTTGAACTGCTACCTTACAACATTTTTTTTTTATAATTTTTCCTCTCTCTATTTTTGCTGGACTGTGCAAATCCGTCATTCTTTCCTCGAAGCCCAGGTTAAGGTTTGTCTGGAACCGTGCTCGGCTGGCTCTTGCCGCTTGCATTCTGACGACACCATCCATCCTCTCAGTCCACCTTCAAACTGTTCCTTGGGTCCCTGCGGCGCCGTTTTCGTAACCCGCCTTTTTCCATCACACCCAAGGCAAGGAAGGGAAAAAAACCCCCCCAAAAAAATCAAACAAAAAAGAGGGAAGAAATAAAAAAAAAAAAAAAAAAGAAAAAGAAAAAAGAGGCAAGCGACGGAATTGACCCATCACACTACCACTTGCCAGCTTACGCACAACACCACCTACCTCACCCGCACGACCTAAGGTACCTACCTACCTTACCTAAAGGTAGCTGCCCTGCTCAGCTTGTCAAGGCTCAAAGCGGTTCCGGACTTAGAGCTGCTGGTATTGAAATTCCCACAGCTCGTCTCCACCCATGGTACTTGGACCTTGGACCAGTTCCATTTCTCTAACTACTACTTAGAATCATCAATCAATCATACTCTGTCGTGTCCGTCTTTAACCAACGACAATTCCTCCCCCTCTCTTCCCCTCTTCTCTGGACCTGTCCCTTCACCCCCACTGGGTACTACTACTACTAGGGATCGTCCTTTTTTATTCTATTCTACCTGCCTTAGTGCTCCGTCGAACCACAAGTGTCCGCTGCAAGGTTCCAGAGAGAGCCGAAATCTCCAGCCTATTATCTCATTTTTTTCCCTTGGTATCGTAAAACCACATATTCTTCCGTTGTGCATTTATCCATCTTTGCTCGAATTTGGTGAACCCTGTACGATACGTACGTGGTTCGTTGCGCGCTCTTCTGACGGACAACCGCGACCTGGATCCTCTGGCTCTACTCTACTTGGTACTTCTGTGACAAGACCTTCGCCTTGATGAGTGCGTCGACGTTCTCAGACGCCTCTCTTTCCCGCGAATCCCAGAGGTTTGTCCGACCTTCCTTCGCACCGGGATGGTCTTCTCGACTCTTACTCAGCTGTCCAGGGTCTCCAACTGACAATGTTGTCCAACACCAGTTCTGACTTCGAGTTGATCGTTCGCCAGCAGCCCAATCGGGCTCGTGTGGCCGGTGGGAAGGAGAAAGGTACGTGGAAGACTGCAGGCTCTACTTATAGCTATCATCGAGCCTCCTTTGGGATCAAACAGACGTTGACATGGGAAATTTGCTCTTCAGAACGCAAGCCAGTCGATCCACCGCCGATTGTGCAACTCCGGGTAAGAGAGGAAGGGAGCTATCTCGCGCAGTAAGTTACAATGGGAGCTTGTCTCGGCTTGCTGGGGAAACTCTCGGGCTAATTTGCACGAGTAGACACTACCTACAGAGCCCATATTATTTCATGTGCTGCAGTCTGTACGATGCCAATGAAGATCAGCCAGTTCCCGTACCGCCGGCCACAGCTTTGGCAGGCACTCTTGTCTCGTCGCTTCACCGGTTGAAGGATGTGGATAATAATGGTAAGCCTACTTTTATGTAAAAGGTGGTTCTGCTTCGTTGCTGACTCGCGCGGCGCAGACGGCGGATTCTTTGTATTTGGGGATTTGTCGGTCAAAATCGAAGGGGAGTTCCGACTGAAGTTTACCTTGTTTGAGATGCGAAAGTGAGCAATCTCTCGCCTTCCTTCATTGATTGTTGATAAGTATGACAGGACGCTGATCTCCCCACGTGTAGGGATGTGGTTACCTACCTGAAATCCATTATCTCTGATCGCTTCACTGGTAAGACAATCTTGCGCCCATTGATTCTGCGAGGTGGTGCAGACTAACAGGATGCAGTTTCACCACCAAAGACTTTTCCTGGAATGCAAGAGTCCACGTTCCTTTCTCGGTCATTTGCCGACCAGGGTGTCAAACTACGGATCAGAAAAGAGCCTCGCACACTGTCTTTGTAAGTACTCAGCGAGCTGCGCCCCTCGGATTGGCCCCATAACAGATAAGGCTGACTTCTTTCGTCAGGAAACGGCCGCCACGGCCGGAAGAGTATCCCCAGCAGCCATTGCCTCGCTCCCCAGACCGGTCTTCAATACAGATGTCAGGGAACGCTTTCACTGGCTATCCGGCAGCAGGCAGAGATTATGCATACTACGGGACACCGGTCAAACGTCAACGGACGTCTGTGGACTACGGGAACAGAGGCATCTATGACGCAGAAGGTCGGATGCGCCAGGTGGATGCGTATCCACAAACCACCGCCATGTATCCGAATCAGCCAGGAACATACCAGACCCCTATGATGCAAGGATATCCTGCGGGACATGCAGGAGTACCAGATTATGCGGTTCGTCAACAACAACCTTCCGTAGCTGCCCTTTCATCTTACGGTTCCCCGGTGGAGTCCATGGTTACAGTGGAATCCCCGGGACCCGGTAATATGGCACAAACTCGAACACCTGCTTACATTGATGCGCAGATTTCGTATGGGATCCCACCATCCGCTCAAGTGTCCCAGATGCAGGATCCAACGGCCCAAGCACGCTCCAGCCAGCAAGCAACGATGCAATCTCTAGGCATGATGAACCAGCCTGGTACTCCTGTATGGTCCCTTCACAAGCCGATGACCCCTAAAGACGAGAGCTAAAGGATTCTCTGTTCATCTGAAATAGACCGCAGATTCGACGGCCGCCATGATGCCGCAAGGATATCCCCAGCCGCGATCGCAGCAGTACCAAACCAGTTCTACAATATTACCACCTTTGCAACGGAATCGCAATTATCCACAAGGGACTAACGGTGCATCCGCACGAGGTTACTTTGATCAGGCGTCACAAGGTGCAACTCCTATTCTCCCATCACAACCTATGGGTTCAACCGAAGGGGATCGATATGGTGCTGCGCCCGGTCAGACAACCTTTGAGCATCCTGGCTCGCATAATGGGACACCCCGATAATGAATCTACGCGATTACGGATTACTCTTTTACACTTTCTTCGGCTGATGTCTTTTTACCACATTTGTACTCCATCGGGGGTAAAAAAAAGTCTTTCTGAGTGTCAAGGGCCTTTCTCGGAGGACTGTATTTGTTTCTGCTTTCTGTTTGATTCTATCTTTATCTCGTTTCTGTTTTGGATAGACCGATGGGCAGGTGTTTTACGGGAACTGAAATCGGTGGCTGGTAGGGTTATACATGGCGCATGGGACAAAACAGGAGTGACCGTGCTGGCGGGTTTCTCTGATTCTTGTTTTCACTTTGCTTCTTTCTATTCCTTCTCTGCCATTGTTCGCGTCTGAGTGACGACGTTCAAATATTCTTTGTACATATTGGCTGTGCCGAATCAGGACCTGCATGTCCCGGTGAGGAGGCTAGCATTTGAGTCTGCTCACTCAGGGCAACTGTTGAATTATCAACTCTTACAATAATCTTTGAAGGATATAAAGTCATCCTGTTAGTATGTGCCTAGGAAAGAGTGGCATAGCTTGAAGCCCGCCTAAGACAAGATATGGAACGACAACATAAAGGTTATTGTTGTTCTAAGCGATTGTCATGCGTAGGTGCCTCAGGTTGGCATAAACACAGCGTTCCTTCCCTTCCTGGACCAAAGAGCGTGTGTGTCTTGGGTCTTTGCTCCCCTGACTTTCACCTCATTCATCTTTTTCCTCCACTACCTTCGCTTGCGCAACCTTCTCCCAGCGCGGTGCATCGTCACCGTCTTCGGTCCTTCAATCGCTCTACCCTTTTCGACGATAGATAAATCGCAACTAGGATTTATCTCTGTGGTAGCTAACTCAAAGGCAGACAGGTGTGTCAGGAAGCACATGGCTTCTCCAGCAGAACGGGGAGAGGCCCATGTGAGCTCATTGCCTCAGCGGTCGTCCGAGTTCAACTGTTTGGAGATACGCGGTACCTGGAATGGCGACGAGCTTGAGCCAGTAGGCCTTAGAATCTCCCTTGAGGTAAGCTGATATCGCTGGATACTGATTCCCGTACCTTTCCAGTTGGTGGACTTTCGTACTGATCACCGGCATTCTTTCTGTCAACACAGGTTCGATGCGTACCAAACACACAACTCCAGCTTCTCAGCACCAGATCGGCAAACATATCTCTCATCAAGACCTCCGTCCGCCTCCAGTCTAACGAATGGGGCCAAGGAAACCAGTCGAGTGACAGTTCGCCTCAAAGCCCATTGTTCGCTTTTTCCGCATCAGAGTCTGATGACGGTACCACCTTTTACAATTCTCGCACTCCAGAGGGAGATCTCTTTACCGCAGCACGAGAATCACCCACCAGCTCTCAGGATGCAACTGTGTCTTCTTCCCTTGAAATTGTTGCAGACTGCGGCAACGACGAGGAATTTGAGCACTCGTCGCACCTCTTCACCTCACAACCCTATCTCTCTTCTGGCCTGCGCTTGAACGATTGTGCCGATTGGAACAAGATGCAGAACCCAGGCCGGAAGAGGAGTGCATCTGACGCATCCCTTACTGATTCTGGGTCTGATTCGGAGCGGGCCAAGGTTTCTGGCATGAAACCGTCCGCAGAGTGCATCATCAGCGACGTCGGCGATGTTAAATCAACCGCAGGGCCTCATAAGCGAACTCAAAATGCAAGCGAAGGGAAGGAAGGAACGCTCCAGTCTCCAATTCAGTATTCAGAGCGAAATTCTCCCAGGAAACATTCCAGAACACTTAGCATGATCCCAAAGCCCGTAACTCGGCTGGACAAGGATGTGGAGAGAGGAACGGTCTCTATTCCAGCGCCAAATGCGTTGCAGGATGCATCAACCGCTGCGCGTAGTAAACAGCCTACTGAAGAGAAATATGCTCCCGCCCCAACCCAGGCAACCATGACTGAAACATTCCGCAGAAAGCGGGGAGACTCAGACATCATCGTCACGTCGATTTCTGAGGCATTTCCAGGCTCTTTTGAAGCGAATGAACCGATGGCCGCAGAAGTCGCTAAGTGCACAAGATCTAACCCTGACAATGACTTCCCTGGGTCAACCCTTGGCATGCACGATGTCCTAGATGGTCTTCGTACTTATTCAGAGCCCGAGGGTCTGAAAATCACCATTGACCAACATGTTGAGCCTACATTGAGCCATAAACCTCATCGAGACATGACGGCACCTAAAACCCCAGCTCCAGAGCACGATGATGCGGACCAAGCTCTGGCGCATGGTCCTAAATATCACCTAGCCTGTGACTTCGAAGACTACCAATCGTCCATGAGCGAGCCCAAGCTTGACATTAAGGATGGAATGCTCTTCATTCGAAACCCTAAAAATGTGAGGCCAGCAATATACAAGTTCACCGTGACTATCTCTGTCCTTCTTGAGAAAGACAAGTCGAAAGGATGGAGGAATCTGGTCATTCCTGGTCTTCCTAGGATGAGGGCTGGCGAGAGTGGATTTTTCCTGTTTCAGATCCCTGAGAACCATGGCTTAGAGTTCCGCACTACCAATTTGCAACGCTACAAGATTGTGGAGAACTGCTTCTTCGCTGAATTCGTCAACCACGGGGACCTTGTCGTTCCTTTACGGGTCTGCGACCAGAAATTCTACGGCATTGTCAAGGACTTCACCGTGGACCAGGAGATTCGAGCCGACCACCAAGTCATTGCCAGCGCCGATCATGAGGACAATGGCATTCAAGCAGATGTGATCATAAAATACATTGCGATGTGCTCATTGAGGCTGCATAATCGCTGTTTCTGGGCGGAAAAGTGTTGCTTCTTCCTTCGTTTGGATGGCGGCCCTGACGGTCGTTTCCATTGCCGGCTTGAGCCTCAGGAGACGGGCCTGCAGATGATCAACTTGGAAAATAAAGGAATTCCAGTCGGAGTTTCTTATCTCCAGGTCACTTGCTCTCCCAAAAACCTGGATACGTTTGGTGTGACTTGGAAGGTCAAACTTCCTGGTCAACAAGCTATAAACTGGCTACCACGGATCTATCCAGTCTCATCAACCACTTGTGAGAGTAATAGGAACAATCTTCGCCAAATATTTACTGAGCTGGAAGCGGAATATCGCAAGGAAGCAGCACCTCAACTCGCAAAGCTAGTGGAGTTCGATCGAGAAGATGTCCGGGGGCAGCACAACGCAGACAAGTCGGAAGATCGCGAAGAAGATCTTATTCAGTCAGGAAAGGATTTCTTTGACGGACCATTTCCGCCTGAGGCAAAAACCCAGACGTCGATCGCGAACGTAGTGGTTGACTCCATGGCATATTGCATGCAAAGCTTAATTATAAGCCTTTGTATCTCGATGATCTGGGTGATCCTCACATCTTATCTTGAGATCCCTCCTTGCCCTAGAGTGTCGAACTGTACTTTGAGCGAAACATACACGAACTTGACTGTTGCAACTAGCGAGATAATCGGACTGGCTTTTCCAAGCGATGAAGACCGGGAATCTCAGCTTGAGCCATTGGATAATGAGCTTGCGCCAGAGCGAGCCATTGCGAGCCACACGCCAGAGATCTTTCAACAGACTTATATGGCAGGCGTCGGTTTGAATGGTCTGGAATCTGGACACGCGGATCACAATGAGACAGGGGACATTCGAGAGAAGGTTGGGGAAGACAAGGACACGCCAGCAGCGAATGTCAAGTCTGGTAACAGCCGTTATGAGGATCAACCTCGTTTCTCCCTCAGGGATAGGATTGATTACTGGCTTGGATGGATGGGGCCCGTTGCCGATGAGCTCTAGCCTTCCCGCAGAATGGCGGCAACATTGAAGGCTGGAAAAATCGTGCTTGGTTGATGTCATTTAGATATTCACATGACTACAACTCTGAAATGAAATATGTTGCCAAATTATTAACCGTGGTCATCGTTCGGCCATCTCCAATGGCTTCATCACCTCCTCTATGGCCCATTTCAATACATCGGCCATGGGCAATGCCCCTTTCCCAGGAGCGACAGCGACACCGGCATCAGTTCTCACGTTCGTCCCTTGCCCCACAATTCTGACCAACTCGTCAATATCAGAATTCCTAGCGTTCTGGTACCGATCATTGTCAAGACCGCTTTCAGGTAACAGCAGCCATGCATGATCTCGTACGTATCGTGGCCAAACAATATCATCCACATAGCCCGGGGGATCCGTCCAAAAGTTCTGTGGTGGGGCGTCATCCTCCGCCTCCAAATCAACATGCTGCTTCACATCGTCAGAAGCCGACGATCCCCTGTGCGGCAGCGGGGGGACAGGAGCCGGCCCAATGGTCACATAGCCACTTCTTCTCTCGCGACGGTTCTTAACATAATCATACGGCGCCGGCAAAAACAGACGCACATCGATCTGCTCATGCACTGGCCGCAGGACATGCTCCCTGACCTCCGCCTCTGGCGGACTAAACAACAAAAACCCCTCGAAGAAGACAACCGTCCGCTTTTCCCCATCTCCCACAAGGACCGGTCCAACTTGCTGCAGTTTTTCTGAAACCTGGCGCTGCAGCTGGGCAATCGTCTCGTCGCTGACGCCCGAATCGGACGCCTCGTTGAGATCCTCCTTGCTCTTCAGGCGAGGCGGGAGCCGGCCATGCTGCCGGACGTAGGACAGCGCCGATGCCATGAACGGCACGTCAATTGCCTCGACGGTATCCCAGTCTTGGACTGTTTTGCCGGAGGAGGTTGTTGTGTATGGGATTCTGGATTTGGTTAGCATACTAGAAAATTTGAAGGGCCAACTCCCGTTGAAGGTAGGTGAGTCGTGTGTACTGACCGATCATCAGGGAGGTAAAAGTCATCCTCGTGCATGATAAACGTCTGCAGGTTTTCGCTGATATGCGAGAATATCCGCTGCAGGAGGCGGGCTAGGGTTGTCTTGCCGCTGGATGAGGGGCCGGAGATCCCGATTACGGTCACAGGGTTTTTCGGTCGCGCGCTGGCTTTGACTTCGGCTTCGGCTTCAGTCATTTTGAGGTTTGAGGCTGCTTCTGCTTCTTTTCTCTTTTTTGTTTTCAGTGGGTGCTTTTGAGGTGATGGGCGGGCTATGCTTGGGGTCGAATGATAATGGGTGGTGGGGGTGGTCGTTTGCTCTCTTGGGTTTATGGACTGAGTACCTGGTCCTGCAAGAGAGCTAGATGACAGAATACAAGTCCTATCCAATGGTTCATAAGAATCGAAGAGGCATTGAGCAAAAGAGGATAGGCAAACGTTGATATCGCACTTCGCGCTAGTGTATTGCTTAAATCGGCGGTAGTGGGGTAGCAACTAGTAGTGGGGTAGATCGAATCCGAGACCTGGGCAGAGAGCACTCTCAATGTTGACAACACATGTAGTTGAGATCGCACAGATTCCCGGGCCATTTTCAAGAAAACGCTCGCAAATGCATTGTAGACATTATTCTCCTTTCACCTTGGAACGTGCAGTATGTTGACAGCCACGTGATCGCCGCTGCTGGGGTGTCTACAATTACCCTTGTCGGTAATCATATGGTACAGCCATTGATTAAAGGCGAGAAAGAAAGTGACGCAGCAGTATATTAACGTTTGCAACGCAAACCATGGTATCTATCCTCCAAATGAACACCAATAAACAGAAATACGAAAATATGTACCCGGGCCCCTCTCTCATAACCAATCCCTCAGAAGTAATATACGTTAATGGAAATATTGTGGGATCTAAATGTTCTCTCAAGGCCCAAATATGGACCCAGGTCTCTGTTGGACACCGTTTGGTGCCTCAGATCCTGCACGGCTTCCGCCTCTTCCCTGGTCGATGCTGCTGAGTGAAGGGGTTTTAGATTGAGATTTTCTACTGGGCGTCATCAAGATACCCCCCGGAGAAAGAAACACCAAACCTGTCGAAGATTTTCGCTTCTTGGGCGTGATGATGTCTGGTTCGACGTCCCCAATAGCCTTGCTGTTAGACGACGGACGTTTGCGCTTCGGAGAAGTCTTTTCCGCGTCGCCTTCGTCGTCAGGAATTGCCAGTTTATGGCGGTCAAAAAAGCCTGAAGGTGCAGAGAGATATGCGACATGGGCCGATCCGTCCCGACGGTCTTCGGGCATTGGAATGAACCGTTCGTTCTGGATAATTGAGCTCATCGTGCTGTCGTCAAGAAGATCCTTCTCAGCTTCTTGCATCTCCTTCTCTGACATTGCCTTTCGGCGCTTTAACATCTTATCTTCCAATGTGTCTTTGAGGACAAGAGTCTCAACGTATACCGGCCGAGTTTGTCCGATTCGATGTGCTCGTTTGATGGCCTGGCTCTCCACATTCGGCTGCCATATTGGATTGACGAAGAAAACACGGGACGCATTGGCGATATGGAGCCCGTGAGATGCTTGATGCAAGTCCATCAAGAATACTCGGATCTCTTCGCTCTCTCGGAATAGATTCAAGTAACTCGTCCGGAGCTCGGGACTAAGCGTACTCGCATACATGCGGTATTCAATGCCAAGCAGATCAAGACCTTCGGCAATCCAAACGCCTGAATTCGTGCTGTCATAGAATATGATAATCTTCTCCTCAGTGTGCAACTCCATAACCCGACTAAGTAGATACGACAGCTTAGCCGACGTTGTACCAAGCAACTTGGTCTGTGCCAGGGGAGAATCCGGTGGCAGTGACTTCATAAGACCTTTGGAGAATGACTTCTTCGGCGCCTTCTTCGAAGACTTTGGGAAAGTTGCAAAGCCTAACTCAGGGCCTTGCTTCTCTGCAGCCTCCGCTTGCTCACGGCGGGCTTTGATGCCCGCTCCAGCAAGGCCTTCGGCTGGGTCAACCGATTTCAGGTGTTCTTTGACAAATTGCTGCGCGCGACAAGCCTGATAAATGCCCATATGGAGGGGCTCAGTATCTGACTTCGAAGGGTCAAGTGCCCACAAGTCTCGAGCATGAGAAGGGAAATCGCGAACGTAGACACCTAGTTCATTCAGCTGCCTAAAAGCATTCCAAGATCCGCTGGAGAATGCCTTCTCGGCTATCCCTACTCCCTCGGTCAAGGTCGCGATATCATCATGGCTCATGTGAGCTCTCTTTTTCTCCAGGTATTCCAGAGCATGCTTCACGGTCGCCGAAAGATCCAGATTCGAGCCTGCCCACCAAAATCCAGCCTGTCGGAGATTGTTGATCAGGGTCCTCAAGTGCTTCTTGTTTTTCATATGAAACATGTAGTCATCGCCTTCCCGTTCTGAGGTTATTGCATTGACTGCCAAAACGAAGATAAACAAGTTCAGATTCAACTTGTCGTAAAACGTTGGCTCCAAATAAACGACCTTGTTGTAAAGCTTTGGCAGAGTGATCTCGCTATGAATCACTTCCATGCGATGCCGTACGACAAGGCTCTGAAGCGTGGCGCGAAGAGACTGCACTTTTCGACGTTTCCCATCCTTCCCTACGAGTCTCATGTACTTGGCCCAGTCGGCATGGTCATTGGCCTGAGGGTTCGACCATGGCTTCAGATCAAAAAAGTTGACCACAATCGGTTTCAGCTTCCTGAGATCTTGGTCATCTCTCGCCTCTGTCTTCTTCTTTCCTTGAAGAACAGCTTCGGTCGCTTCTGATAGATCGGTGTCGCTGCTAGTATTCGTTTCGTGCGAAGCCAAGCTCACCTCCACTCCATAAAGTCCACTGGATGGTGTTCCAGACACGATCCAACGGCGCTCAATATGCATTTTGTCCAGCAGGTATCTCGTTCTTGAAGTTTGGCTAGATCCAGCTACGTTGTGGCCTTCGTCAATGATGATACGAAGCCAATGAAGGGTAAACAATGGCGACTCCACTGTGTTGAAGACGCCGCGTCTGTTGTCAACTGCCTCGCCAGCCTCCTGGTCGAAACGCCATCTTGAAAACAGAATGATGTCATACTGCAAGAGGTCATCCGAACTGGGGGTAGCATTCGACATGCTTCGTAGGACGAGAACTTTGAGCCCTTGGCTGTGCCGAGCAATTTGTTCCTCCCAATGGTCAACCAAGTTGGGAGGTACAACAATCAATGTCCCCGAAGTAAGCCGCACAAGTTGAGGAGGTGGCCTGGGATATGCGACGGCAGCCCGACCACTGTGCCTTGTAGGTGGGGAAGGAATCTTATACGCGCCTCTGTTATCCTCGCAAGCTTTGATGCACCGTGCAAAGGTCATTCCAGAATGGCCGAGGCGATCAAAATAGCTCTTCCATGGCATCGAAGACTGGCCAGCAGCTGTCGCCGCCATCTCGACAAGGCTCGCACATTTTTCACGTTTGACTTCCCCTTCCCGGTACAGAGGCGGTATGGCAGGGACATGACAGCGTGTTGCCAGGATGACAGCGAGGCAGATCAATGTCTTACCACACCCCATAGTTTCAGCTAAGATGCCCCCACAAGTTTCTGAATACAGCTTCTTTTCTTTGTAGATCGTGCCTTCTTCTTCGTCGTAGTAGTACTCGCGTCCATTGGGACCCTTGAACAGCTGCAGACGAGGGTCTAGCATCTGGGCTGGCTGCGCTTCACGTTGAACCATGAAAGCCGCAGAACGACGCTGGTATGGGTACAAAGGAGTCTTGAGCCCTGCGACGCCAGCATCGAGTACTGTGTCGCCAGCGTCCTCCGCAGAAAGTAGTTGTCGCATGGCGAACTTCGCGTAAGGGTCTTTCACGGCTTCAACCCGCGGCTCGGGATTTCGCAGTGTATTGAATATGTACCATAGTGACTCGTCCTCGGTCCCGGTATCGTTGGAACTGCCATCGGTAACTCGCTCATCCGAAAAGAAGATCCCATCCCATGCATCGACAGACCGATTGACTTTCGACATAACAACTTTAAGTGCCTCCCTCAATGTCTTACTTGAACGGTCAATGTACTTGTGCCCAGCATCGTCGGGCAGGACATAGACACGGACATAGCACCATCGCGGATGCTTCGCATATGTATACTCGCATGTTCGCACCCAGTTGCTTTTCTTCAGCATTGCAATCTCTCCAACTGGATAGTTCTCGTCTTCCGCCGAAGGCTCGACATCAGCACTGTGGCGTTCGTTGCGCTTTCTCAGGACACCGACGGCAACGTATGAATTCAAATTTGATAAGAACAAGTCCTTTTCTTGGATGAATTTCTGTGCAGAAACAGAGACCATACCCCTATTTCCAGAGCCAGATAACAAAGATGAGGGCGTGGGTGTGGTCGCAGGTATGATTTGCGACGACGAGTCGCACATGGGAGATCCGCAAGGACGCTCAGTTAATCTTATGGTATCCGTTTCCATCATCTATGCCATATAATTGTCCTGTCAGCGCATGGATTAACCAGATTTCCTCTGCAAATCCATGTGGGATAAACCCAGTAGCAGGAGAGGCGAATCCACAGATTGGAGGAACATACCTGCGACTGAATTGATGCAACGCGAGGTTGCGGTCCCAGACCAGCCAATGCCATACTTTAAAAGCAGCAGATCTCGCGAAACACAATAATCGATCACTCCGCTTCCATTCAAATCCCCAGGTCGATTCTAAAGCCTTGCCGCGAGAAATCCGCTATTAGCAGGAGGCCATTGAGCGTCACAGATGGGAGTTGGGAGTTGGGAGATGATGGTGACAAGGCGTCTCACAGACCTGCTGGAGTTGACTCAAAGTCTCAAACCAGCGTCATCCTACAAATGGAAGCATCCATCCTGGATGTGGAAACCATAACTCTGTGACAGTCAGTGAACAATCATTGAAGCTGCGCCAGGACCGCGATGAGAAACTCCGCGAGCTGACGAACGCCATTGGTTCGTGCCTTTCACCGCCCTCGGACTTCCCTTTTAAGTTATATTAGTTGTGTTCAGATCCACGTGACTTATTTTGGAATGAACCTCGAACAACAACAGAGTTTGGCTTCAAGAACATTAACATTGTCATATTAATCTCATTCAGATTCAGCCTACTTAGATGATTAATATACTCTCATATTTGATAACAAGTTAGTTGAACGAAGAAAGGATAAGTGTTAAGTC